GAACAGTAGAATGCATAGTATGGAGTAAACTCTTCTTTCAACTAAGAGCATCGGCAACTTGATTTTGAACTCCCGCCTTATGCTTGATAATGAACGTGAATTCTTGAACATATTCAACTCATTTGGCACGCTTGGAATTAACCTTTTGCTGCCCTGAAATATACTTGAGAGCTTCATGGTCAGTGTATAAAATAAACTCTCAATGAATAAGATATTGCCTCCAATGCTCAAGTGTCAGGAATAGTGCATAAAATTCCAAATCATAATTGCTATAACGAAGTTTTGCACCATTCCATTTCTCACTAAAGAAGGCAATAGGTCGACCTCCTTGACTTAGAACTCCTCCTATGCCAGTACCTGATGCATCACAATGTACCTCAAAGACAAGATCAAAGTTTGGCAATGCAAGGACCGGTGCCGCACATAACTTTTCTTTGAGATGTTCAAAACTTCTTTGGGCTGCACTTGTCCACTCAAAAACTCCTTTCTTCATGCAAGAGGTGAGTGGGGCTGCAATAGTGCTAAAATGCGCAATGAACAGCCGATAGAAAGAAGCTAAACCATGAAAGCTTCGAACTTCGTGCACATTCGTTGGAGTTGGCCATTCTTTTATCACCTTGATATTGGCATCATCAACCGAAATCCCTTCTTTTGAGATATGAAATCCCAAGAATAGGATTTGCGACACCATGAAGTAGCACTTGTCGGGGGCTGCATACAAGCACTCTTGCCGTAACACTTGTATTACTTCTCGAAGGTGCTGCAAGTGCTCATTAGTAGACTTACTAAAAATCAGAATATCATCAAAATAAATGACAACAAATTTCCCAAGAAATGGCTTCAAAACTTGAGTCATAAACCTCATGAAAGTCGATGGTGCATTAGATAATTCGAATGGCATAACTAGCCACTCAAACAATCCATCCTTGGTTTTAAATGCGGTCTTCCATTCATCTTCGGGTTTGATTATGATTTGATGATAACCGCTCTTTAAATCTAGCTTTAAGAAGATGGTTGCACCCAAAAGTTGATCCAAAAGATCATCAAGACAAGGAATAGGAAAGCGGTACTTGATGGTGATCTTGTTGATCGCCCTATTGTCGACACACATTCTCCAAGTGCCATTTTTCTTCGGCACCAAGAGGGCTGGAATGGCACGTGAGCTGAGACTCTCCCTTATAAAACCCTTGTTCAAGAGTTCCATAACTTGTCGCTGCAATTCTTCATGTTCAACCGGACTCATTCGGTAATGAGCGAGATTGGGTAGTGAAGCTCTAGGCATCAAGTCAATTTGATGCTGAATATCTCTCATAGGAGGAAGACCAGGTGGTAAATCAATCAAAAAGACATCTTTAAATTCTTCTAACAAAGACTGAGCTTGATGGGGTATGGGAGGTACAATTACATTCTCCACACCTGTTTTGTTAAACAAAACATACACAATACGGCAAAAAAACACTACAAGTGCCATAAGTTATGTACGGCGGTCACTTTGGTGCAAAAAAAATTTTTTTGATCACTTCAGTGCTAAAATTTTTGAAAAACAATCACTTATGTGCTAAAATTTTTGAAAAACGATCACTTAAGTGTCAACTCCGGTACTGTACATAATTTTTCGTCGGAAATCTGACGTGGCATTTTTTTTATTAATTTCTGAAGCTAACGTGGCTCACTGGAGTTAGCACTTAAGTGATCATTTTTTTAAAAATTTTAGCACTTAAGTGATCGTTTTTCAAAAATTTTAGTACTGAAGTGATCCAAAAAAACTTTTGGCACTTAAGTGATCGTTTTGCCTCCGATTTGGCATTTAAGTGAGCCGGCGAAAACTTTTGGCACTAAAGTGAGCGCCGTACACAACTTATGGCACTTATAGTGTCATTTTGCCTACACGATACTAACATCTTTCATGGCACCCTTTACATATTTCATTATGAGCAAAGTAGGGGATAAGGAATTCTCAACCAAAGGAGTCTTAAGAGGTTCCTTACTAGGCGCCAAAGTAATTTTCTTTCCTCCATACATAAAAGAATACGTATTATGATAGCCATCACGAGTATTCTTCCTATCAAATTGCCATGGTCGGCCAAGAATAACATGACTAGCATCCATAGGAAGAACATCGCACCATATTTTATCAAAATAGGTAGAGCCGATGGAAAAATTGACAAAGCATCGTTTGGAAACGGTTACCTCGGAACCTTTCTTCAACCACAACATTTTGTACGGTGTGGGGTGCACTTTCAACTTCAATTTTAGCTTGCTTGCCGCCACGTTAGAAATCACATTTTCACAACAACCAGAGTTAATAATTAATTAACATACCTTCCTTGAAATGGTGCAGGCTGAATGAAAAATATTGGTGCGTAGCTACCTATCTCCGGTGTCATCTTTTAGGAGTGAGGAAAATCTTTCTCACCATTAGAAGCTCTCAGGAATCAGTATGTATTATTTGTTCATCATCCGCAGCAACTTCATCATCTTTTGATTCTTCATCACGTGGTTCATTCAAATTTTCATCAGACTCATTATCCACCAATAAAGCTTTACCGGCTGGTCGATTCTTATTGTTTTGACAATTACTATCACGATGACCTATCTCCCCACAAGAATAACAATGCATACCAGTTATAGATGGTTGTTTTGAAATGTTGGATTGAGAAGAAGGCTTACTAGTAGATTGTGCCGTAGGTTTAGCAACTTTGGCGGTGTTGGTGGTAGTCCGGGTTGTCCTATTTGGTAAGGTAGAAGGTTGTTGCCTCCTAGAGCGAAAACGCTCCACTTTGAGTGCCCACTGATGTGCATCTCCTAAATCCCAAATGTCAAGAACTTCCAAGGCATCTTGGATATACAGCTGCAGACCATTCAAGTACTTGTTTACAAGCACCTCTTTTGGGTCTTGAATCTTGTTGCGAATCACTAGCTCATTGAATTCGTTGGTGTATTGGTCTACCGTTCGCGTACCTTGCCTCAGATTTTGATACCACTGATAGAGCTCTCTCTTGTATCCTTTGGGAAGGAAGTACTTTCGAATCTTGTCCTCCATTTTTCTCCGCGAAGTGATTGGAGCCTTGCCAATAGATTGGCGGGTTTGTTTCTCACGTCTCTACCAAGCTATAGCCTTGCCTCAGAGTCGCATAACAATTATGCCAACTTGACAATCATCCGAGACATTCCTATGCTCGAAATCTTCATTCACAAGTGTCAACCAATCGACAATTTCATCAGTAGAATCGGTACCTGAAAATTCTGGAATATCTCTCTTGATTTCCTTTTCCCAATCTGGTTCCCGAACCTCTTGTGCGCTATGTGGAGCATTCGTCCTTTGGGGAAAAGATTGCACACTTTTTGAAGAAGAAGAATCACCATTGGATTCTCCGGTTCTAGAACGAGGCGGAGGATTGTTTGCTTCAACCCTCAGATGTTGAACTTCTCGGGTTAAGTCATCAATTCGTTGTTGCAAGTTCGCCGCAAGTGTATACACTTCGCCTAATGGAATGGTCCTGCCACCTCGACGTCTTGCTTGTCTTGGAGGCATTGTCCTCTCCTCCAAGGCTCTAATACCAAATGACGTAGCCCCAAGGTCGACTACTCGAACAACAGGATCGGAAGAGTGACTTGCACACACGGAAACTCCGTCGCAAAATCGAGCAGAAATTTCAGTTCTGCGCTAGTTTAGGAAAATGAGCATAACTCTGTCAAATCAATTGGAATGACCTGATTCCAAAGCCAAAAGAACAAGGGCTCCTGGATCTACAACTTTTATGTTTTGAGCTTTCTCAAATAAGCACTGCAGAGTTGTCAAATTCAGAAGGAAAGTAGACGGTCGTGACTGGTCAAGATGCGGGAAAAGATAGGAACTTCAAGGATGCTCTTCTAGGCCTCCAAGGAAGTTGAAAGGGCATCAATTCTTCTAGATTGATGGCTGCAACTCTTCAAGGATGTAGACTTGAAAAGCTCCGACTCTTCAAGGACGGAGTGAAAACTCTTCTAGGTTTTCAAGGGGTTTGAACTCTTCAAGGTTCAAGGGAATTGCAATAGGCAAATCTCATTAATCACATTCAGTCTGTCTATTTGCATGGACTTGAAGCCCTTTTATACAAAAACAGAAAAAAAAAGCAAAAGTCTAAACCTAGAAACCACAAGCTATTAAAGTACATAGAAACTAGAAACACTTAGAATTTTTTTTTTTTAGAAACACTTAGAAATTAGGAACTATTAAATATACAATATTTTCAATGCTAGTGGCCATCTCGAGGAGTCTTAATGCAAGCTTCGATGCATGGAAAATGACAAAGTCAAATATGAGGCTTTTCGCTTATCGAACTTTTAAGTAAGACTCTTGTCGATAAACTGACAAAGCCAAAAATGAGGCTTTTCTCTTATCGATCTTATCGGTAAGACTCTTGTCGATTTGTTTGTCTTGAATACGAGCCGATCTTCTTGGCTGAACGAGTTGATCTTGAAGTTGGGCTGCATCACAATTCTATTTGGTAATACAAGCTATCAAACGTCGCTCCAGGTCATGTAGGGACCCATGACAATTCTTCATTGTTAAGAGCATACACCCAAGCGGGAATTCACGGGCACACCTCAAAAAGGAATACCAATAATACTGTCGGGACAGTGATTAATTGAAAGGTAAATATCATGCAATAGCTTCTCATTTGAAAGAATATTATCTGGTCTATAAATTTTATGGAATGAGCTCTTTTACGTTGTTCATTACGTAAACTCTACCATAATATTCACATAATTATATTGCATGACGTCATCACTTCGTCCTATTGATCTATCTGCATCCTTTTGTCAGTTTGTGCGTTTCCTTTATTCCCACTAACTATAGATTCACATAGTCATCTTGGAAAATGGAAGGTCAAACCTCAACCACACATTTTCATGAGAGAGAAAGAGACTTGTCATTTGCTTGAGAATTTCCACACGCTTGCGTGTGAGAAAGGAAAATTTTGTGGCTAGCTTTTGACCGTCACACTGTCAGACGGTCATTCTAGCAGCTCTCATTCACAAATTGCGGTCCACAAGAGCCTCCGCCACCTTGTTATCATCTCCGCAAACCATTCAACTCAGTAAGGAAAAAAGAAGAAAATTTCGAAGGCATCATCGTCATCATGAGTTCTAAATCCGAGCTCGTGTTCATCCCACCGCCCATCCTCGGCCACCTGGTGTCGATGGTGGAGATGGCCAAGCTCCTCGTCGACCGAGACAATCGGCTCTCCGTTACAGTCCTTATCATGAAGTTTCCCTTCGACTCCAAGATCGACTCCCATGTCGAGTCGTTGACCACTTCCGTTGCCGCCCGCATCCGCTTCGTCCTCCTCCCTCGGCAAAACCCCTCCCCGGAAGCGTCCGCGATGGCCTTCTTCAAACAGTTCATGGAGAGCCACAAAGCCGACATCCAAGAAGCCGTCCGTGACCTCTCCGCCTCCAGCTCAGCACGGCTCAAGGGGCTCGTCGTCGACATGTTCTGCACCTCGATGGTCGACGTGGCCGTCGAGTTTGGCATCCCTTCGTACGTGTTCATCCCATCGGGCATGGCGCTCGTCGGATTGATGCTGTACCTCCAGTCTCTCCAAGACGAGCAGCACATGGACCTGACAAGGCTCAAGGGCTCTGATGCCGAGCTGGACTTCCCGTGCTTCGCTAATCCGCTGCCCGCCGCCAAATTCTTGCCCTCAGAAGTGTTTACGAAAGAAGACTGCCGGATATTCTTGGGCCACGCCCAGAGGTTTAGGGAAACCAAGGGAATTTTGGTAAATACATTCGCCGAGTTGGAACCACGCGCGGTGGAGGCCCTGGCCGGCCTTGGAGCGCCCAGGGTGTACCCCGTTGGCCCCATACTGAACATCAAGGTCGAGAGCAAAAAGGATTTTGAGATCCAGGACTGGCTCGACGAGCAGCCTGATGCGTCAGTGGTGTTCCTGTGCTTCGGGAGCTATGGGAGCTTCGAGGAGGACCAGGTGAAAGAGATTGCCTGTGCATTGGAGCGGAGCGGGTACCGCTTCCTGTGGTCCCTACGGCGGCCACCGACGAAGGGCAAGCTAGAGGCCCCCTATGACTACGCGGATCCTGCGGAGGTCCTGCCCAAGGGGTTCATTGGGAGGACGACTAGTGTCGGGAGAGTGATCGGGTGGGCCCCACAGGTCGCGGTCCTGGCCCACCGGGCTATCGGAGGGTTCGTGTCACACTGCGGGTGGAACTCCACCCTAGAGAGCATATGGTTCGGCGTACCGATGGTCGCGTGGCCCCAGTATGCAGAGCAACAATTCAACGCGTTCGAGCTGGTGGTGGAGCTCGGCCTCGCAGCAGAGATCAAGATGGATTTTCGAAAAGATCTCACCAAAGGGAGTAACGTCTTCGTGACGGCGGACGAAATAGACGGAGGGATAAGGAAGTTAATGGAGGGTGAGGAGGCCGGGGAGAGAAGGAAGAAGGTGAAGGAGGTGAGCGAAAAAAGTAAGCAGGCTTTGATGGAGGGTGGCTCTTCTTACTTGTCTTTGGCTCACTTCATCGAGGATGTCTGGAGTCAATAAGCCTCCTGGTATTTTGAGTACTGTTGTTATTTTGATTCTATGATTACATGGCGTATGTTCCAGCGTACCTGGGACACCAATCCATGTAGACTGTTCTAGTGGTTGTTACCTCCCTACCGATTTATTCACCAAAGGAAAATACTAATATCGTTATACAATACTAATATCGTTATACAAGTTCAATCTTTGTAGTGATGTGACAGATCAATAAAATTTTTATGTCATTTTTAATAGATCTAATATTATATTTTACTAAATTCCTTTTGAAAATTGGTTCATCAATGCGCATGGTATTCTTTTGACTTTATAGAATGGGGGATAAATTGGGGACCAAGAAATTTCTTCAATCCTTAATTTGATGTCCCCTATAGTGATGGAGACATCTCGTGATTCATCACATCAAGTAAACTTAAATGTTAAGTACAACGACAGAGAAAGTGACGTTTGAACATTTGATGAATTTATATTAAGAACAATCGTTCAAATTATGAAATAACTATCTTAACCATTTTACAGTAAGATTCTTCATTGTTTTGTAAAATTTTATTTCACTTTAAACATAACATGGTTCTCATGGTAAGTTTATTGAAATTCGTCGAAAATTGCGGTTGAATTTATATACGATGACAATACATTTGCTGTAACACTCACACTAAGATATTCTGGTAATTGAGAATTGGATTAGCAAAAATAATAATTGTCAATCAATCTATTAAGTAGATATAGTAATTTGAAAGGAAAAATTACCAAAAAAAAGTTATAAACTTATTGCATTTGTGTCAATTCAGTCATAAAACTCTCAATTGTGCCAATTGAATCCTAAACATTTTCACGTTTTGCCAATTGAGTCCTAAGCCTTTTTGTTCAATTTAATGCATTATGAACCAATTAAGAGATATTAACAACTCAAGACTACATCAAATCTCCGGCACATAACTTCTCTAACCTAATTTACACATGCTTCTATCTTGACCCTCCTGAAATGAATCTCGAGAGAGTTTGACGGATTGCGAATAGGGCAAGAAAACCTTCTTATGAGGTGGTGCTTACACTTCGTACGAACTCTCTAAAACCCTACTGATCGCAACTTGATTTTTCATTAATTATTTCATTTTATTTTTAATCAAATATCGCCCCTCTCCTAATCTAGACTGGTTAGGAGTCTAAGTAAGATGCAGGAGCCCACCCACCTTACATTTGCGAACCAGAGGTGAAAAATATCCTTTAAGATAGGGCCAAAGGGAGAAAAAGTCCTTCCTCCGGAGGGCTTGATTAAGGTCGGTTCATGTAATGCTTGTTGTTAATACCTCTTTCTCTTTTGTGAAAAAACATTTCATGTAATATTTTCAATTTTATTCCCTAATATTCATCTAAGAATCCATGAATAAATGCTCAAACATTATAAATTAAGTCAATCAATAATAAAACAAATAATGCACAAGAAAATACCCGAGCCATGTCGGGTACCATTGTACATCTTCTTCTTCTAGGACAGGACACCGTGAAGTATAAATGAAATTCGACGTGCGTCAAATATAAATTTCTTAATCTAAGTGATGATGGATGCATTCTAAAATTGACAAAAATAAAACTGATAATATAAAAACGAAAACTAAACTAATCCTATACATGTAATGCAAGAAATATCTAAAAGCAATTCAAATTTTTATTTTATTTTATTATCCTGTTTTATATTTTTTGCAAAAAAAAAAACTATCTAAACATCCATGGTGAGAATAAAACTAAAATTTAATGCTGAAAATAATTAAGAACAAGGAACTCCTAAAGTATTGCAGGAAAACGGTATCAGCAGATGTAAGATGCAATGCATGCTGGAATTTGAAAAATAATGACACTGGCATGAATAAAACACGTTATATGATGCAAATATAGATAAACAAAAAACATGGATTCTATATCTACTATGAAAGCGAGTACGAACTAAAATTATGTAAACCAATTCAAATTACGTAATAATTTATCAACATTGATATAAATTTAAACAGCGCACATTATGACATCAATTATAAGCTATTCACGAGAAAACATCAAACTAAAACCAAACGCGATGTGAATTGGTTCGGATTAGACCATATTCAAGACAAGTTGCTCCGTGTTTTCGATTCGGATTGTGAGGGCATTGAGGGATCAATACTCGGATGAAACTGAAGTAAAACATTAGTAGGCTCACACAATCGATTTAGTTGAGAGGGGAACAAAAGTTCAGGTTCTTACTTCTAAGCACGATAAACTCCACGGATGCCGACCCGTTTCCGTTGAATGCTCCGATGAACTCCGGCGAACGATGTGGCAACAAGAGCTCGCCCATTAAGGGTGAGTTTATTTAGCGGAGAAATGAATGATTTGGTAAACATTTTACTAAAAATGATATGAACAAACAAAAAGAATTGATTGTCCACGAAAATATTGAGACATAAATTGTTATCGATAATAAAAACATTTCTGGTTTACTATTTATTTCGACCGATATAAATGATCCTTTTTTCAAAAAAAAGATCGCTTGTATCGCCTAACATAACTAGTCATTGAAAAATATTTTCATTATTGATAATAATTTATGTCTAAACATTTTCGTGGATGATGAAAATATTTTTTCTTCATTTATTTTTGTAAAGCAATCATTTTTAGGAAAATGTGTTCTCAAATCATTCATTTTTCGTTAAATAAATGTAATCTTAACAGGTACCAAATTCCAACGTTTCCTCATTTCGGTGAACTTCTGTTTTCGCCGCTTCCACCGATCGCACCTGTCTATCTTGCTCGACCAGATTCTTCGGTGAACGCACACTTCTCTTGCTTTCTTATTCTCTCTCGAGTGTGCTGCCCATGTTGTTTTATTCCATGAGTTCACCCTATTCTTCTTTGTTTTTTCTCCTGTTTCGTCTTCCTCGGGCCCCATATACGCCCCTCTTATTCAACCATGAATCTGTCCCATATGGCCAAGAATTTCTTGCCCAATCGAACCGTGAAAATCCACCTTTCGATCGAAGAATTCTTGTCAAGGTTTCTCTCCGTTCCTTTCTGTTTTGCCCAGATTCGCATTCCCTATTTTCTACTAGCTGAATATTCTTATCTTTCCTCGGTTTCGAAATTCCAGCTGATTTCGCATGCCGGGCCAATTTGAATACAATTCACAATTGGACACGTGTTTATTTGATGCGGACATTATCCATAAACATAATGACTCTAGTATCTAAAACTTGGAAATATACAGTATATAGAAGGTGATTTCAAAATCCTGTTATATCGATATTTTTTTGTTAATCATGTGAGATCTTTAGGCGATAATTTGTCCACATGAAATGTTCAAGCCCTTGTTCGGAATCTTAGAGATCACATCTTCAAGTGATAAGATATAAGGATACAAGACTGTCTTTTTCTACTTAATCCGCTAATTCTTAGTGTCTTATCATATCCTATGTTCCTCTTTCTGTCGATATTGGTCTAAATAATCTACAGATTATATAATAACTTATCGATCTACCAATGATGTGACATCATATAAAGTTATAAACCACTCGATATTTTCAACTTGAAATAGCTTCTCGAGTGCATCAAATGCATATGAGGGGCCAAGCTTCTCTTCGACTCCGATGATCTACTCTCCAATACTATCCTCATCATGAAGTTCCCCTTTGACTCCGAGATCGATACCCCCGTCGAGTTGCTCGTTGCCTCCGCTGCTGCCCGCATCCGCTTTGTCCTCCTCCCTTGGCGAAACCCACCCCCGAGGACGTCCCCACTGGCCTTCCTCCATTACTTCATGGAGAGCCTCAAATCCGACTTACGAGAAGCCGTAGCCAAGATCTCTGCCTGTGGCACGCCATGGCTTGCAGGGCTCGTCGTTGACATGTCTTGCACATCGATGATCAATGTGGCACTCGAGTTCGGCATCCCTTCCTACATGTTCTTCACGTCGAGCACGGCGTGCCTCAGAATCATGCTGCACCCTCAGTCTCTCCAAGACGAGCAACGCATGGACCTGACCAGGCTCAAGGGCTCTGACACCAAGCTGGACATCTCATGCTTCGTTAGTCCACTGCTCACCGCCAAGTTCTTGCTCTTGGAAGTGTTTATAAAAGAAGACTGCCAAATATTCTTGGGCCACGCCCTGAGGTTTAGGGAAATCAAGGGAATTTTGGTAAATACATTCGCCGAGTTGGAACCACGCGCGGTGGAGGCCCTGGCCGGCCTTGGAGTGCCCGCGGTTTACCATGTGGGCCCCATACTGAACATCAAGGTTGAGAGCAAAAAGGGTCTCGAGACCCTGGAGTGGCTCGACCGGCAGCCAGACACGTCAGTGGTGTTCCTGTGCTTCAGGAGCAAGGGGAGCTTCGACGAGCACCAGGCAAAAGAGATTGCTTGTGCATTAGAGCGGGAATCGCTTCCTGTGGTCCCAACAGCCGCGGCCGGCAAAGGGCAAGATGGATGCCCCCCATGACTACGCGGATCTCGCAGAGGTCCTGCCCGAGGTGTTCCTCAACAGGACGGCTGAGGTTGGGAGAGTGATCGGGTGGGCCCCATAGGTTGCCATCCTAGCCCACCGAGCCATCAGAGGGTTCGTGTCGCACTGCAGGTAGAACTCCAGCCTAGAGAGCATATGGTTCGGTGTGTCGGTCACCGCGTGGCCTCAATACGCGGAGCAACAGTTCAACGCATTCCAGCTGGTGGTGGAGCTCAGCTTGGCAGCGGAGATTAAGATGGATTATCGGAGAGATCACGACAAAGGGAGTGACCTCGTTGTGACGGCAGACGAAATAGAGGGAGGGATAAGGAAGCCAATGCAGGCCAAGTTCGCTAGGGAGAGGAGGAAAAAGGTGAAGCAGGTGAGCGAGAAGGGTAGAAAGGCTTTGACGGAGGGTGGCTCTTCTTACTCGTCTTTGGCTCGCTTCATCGAGGATGTCTCGAGTCAATAAGCCTTCATTTAGCTACGAGACGGGTTGGTTGGTATTTTGAGTACTGTTGGTATTTGGATTCTACAATTACTTGGAGTGCGTGTGTTTTAGGGTTTGTGTGGCTATAATCCATAATCCATGTTGATTTTCGTCGACCCTTGACGAGTTTTAAGTGGAACCAA